CTGCCTCTTGATTTATACTTCTGTAACTCGTTGGTCTGCCTCTTTCCACCGGGCCCATGGTGCACACAGTCCCCCTTGGTACTTGCTGACTGTGCAAAGTGAGACTGGGACTGGGTACCACTGACTAAGCGAAGTTGGATGCACCACTTGCCCACTTGCCTCTGGCATTCTGTGTAAAACGTGAGGGGAAACTCGAAAGGCCACTTCCGGACCTTCCGGAAGACCGTGGACTTGGCCTTTCAGGACTGTAGCAGCTACGTCCTTGACCCTTCAGGATTGTAGCAGCTACGACCTTGACCCTTCGGAGGAGCTACAGCTCCGACTTCTAGAACTCACTAAGACTCCTATCCGACAGACCTACAGATCGAATCCCTATGCCTACACAGTCCTACGACAGACGAACAACTCACGAAACACAGGTCACGGGTTCAAACACTCAGGGGTCACTCGATACTGTACACGGGCAAGGTAAGGTCTGGGAAACGAACCCTGGGATCTGCATCCGCCTCTGCAAAGGTGAAAACCGTTTCAAGAAAGTACAACTCCGTCCAATTGCAAAAAGAAATTAATGAACTTGAGAGGAGAGAGAGGGAAAGACAAAGAAGAAGAAGAAAGAAAGAACAAGAAGATGATGTACACCAGCATAGACTAGTGATAATGCTCTTCTTCTTCACCAACCACTCTCCTCCTCCTTATCTCCTCCCCTCTTATTCAAACAAGAAATAATAATAACAATGTTGAATGGCTGAACCAGAACTAATGTCTGAATCCCTCTTCTGCTGCAGGTATCACATGAGGTCCACCATAGCCATGGCACCCTTCTCATTCCTCTTCTCGAAGGCCTAGGCTATGGCGGACTGCTAGGGCCTTGCCCTGATGTGCAGAAGACAACTCAAGCAGCTATGGCTGCTCTAGCTCAGGCCGCCATGCCTGATTCTGCCTCAAAGCTTCTTGATGTAGCTCTACCCCCGCTGGGGTCTTCTTGCTGCAGCGCCCACCAAGGCGATGAAGATGGCAACCACCATAGTCAGGTGAGTACCGCTGGCGCTCCCCCTTCCTAGCCCTGGTCTTCTTCCTCCTGTCCTTGCTCCGCCCCAGCAGCGCTGCTCCAAGCTAGCGCTGCTCCAGCCAGCGCTCCCAGGCACCAGTGTGTCGACAAACTTGCACAGCGACAATGAGGAGGAGCAAATTTGCTCCTCCTGGAGATATAGCGGCCTACTTGCCTCTTGGCGAGTGACTTCCCAGGCAGCATGGCCTCCAAGCAACCGGTACCTCCTCCCTTTCGGAGGGAAACATCATTGCAGACTCTGATATTGGCCGTACAGGCCCTAGACTCAGACTGGTTGGACTGGTACCCGCCTAGACATAGCCTACAACTACTGGGCCTCTAAAAATGCCAACTTTGGTCTTCTTCTGCTCGGCCTCAAGTACCCGGCACATCTACCTCTACCTGGTGTGGTACCGGCCTACCTGCTACTTGAGTGTTTTCCGCTGCTTCAAGTGTCGCGGGCCTCTTTCCCCACCACTATAGTTTTACTCATACTTGCAAGCGGACGCCGTCCGGGCGGTTCCGCACGTGCGGCAGACCGCTGGACCAGACCCGTGCGGTGCACTAATGTGCGGCCGACGACCAGTTACGCCCCACCCCCCCCACCAAAAAAAAAAAAGCGCCCCTGTCCGGTCCGGTCCGGGCCCGTCTGGTCCGGGGGGAGGGTGCCGCACGCGGCAAAGCGGACCGGACCGGACGCTCGTCCGGTCCGTCTGCTTGCAAGTATGGTTTTACTACTAGTAATAATTATTTTAGGCGTCTTAGTAGCTGTATGGTTAGAAAGAAAAATTTMTGCAGGAGTACAACAAAGGATAGAACCTGAATATGCTGGATTTCTAGGTATTATGCAAGCTATAGTAGATGGAGTAAAACTTCTTATTAAAGAAGATAAGAGTGTTTTCCCCGCTGCAACCCTCAATGTTAAGGCCACAGGTAAGCACCGGCCCTTCAGGCCCACTGAATGAACAAGTGCCCAAGCCGACAAGCACTTGGACATGCATGCAGACCAGCAAGCATGCACACGCACAGACTTAGAGAACTCAGAAACAAATGGGAAACTCAGCAAGGCATTCATTCCATGAGCAAAACTCAGAAATCAGCTGTGTGTCTCAGTCCATGTTTGGCAGGTCATTAGACGGCAGTGCTTCTGTGGTCACCAGAATGCCTGACCCTACGGGCAAGAAATTTTGCCTCGGAGATAAAGCCACCCCTCATCATAGTCCATTTTGTTGGAGATTAAGCCCGCTGACCCCAGACCACTATACACTTCAGAACTCACTCAGAGAAAATCGGGCCAGGGCCTGTGGCTGCCATAAAATCTCTTAAGCGAAGGAAAATTTTGCCATCCTTGTGCTATCTATTCCAAAGCTTTTCCAATTGTTTACACTCGTCTATTGATTCTATTGCAAAATCACGTAAGAAATCCAGCACCTGGATGAGAAGGGACAATGACGTAGTCTGAACTTCACGGCGACACAAAGGCTACAGGCATTGACACCAAGGCGACCTGTCCGTGATGAGCTTGCTCGATTTATTGTGACACGCTAAGATATGGCCAAACCGCCTGAGGCAACAGCTTGTCGGTGCTCTTCTCCCTCCATAGTCCAGTCACTAACCCACATCGGCCTTCGTGACAAAGCTGGGAAGCACCTTTTTCATGACACTCCGGGGGCCAAAATTGCGGTAGACCTTCCTACCCTGGCCGCAATACCAAAACCACAGTAGAAATTTTTAGCGTGGGTAAGAGTTGCACCCGCCGACGGTCGTCGGGCCTCCCACACCCCGTAGGCCCAGTTTCGGGGTTTCGGGCCGGTACCAGGTGGTCGGCTGATCGGGGCACGGCCTGGGAGGTCGCCGACCGTCGACACTGCCTTTTCCTCGGTCGGTGGCACTGAAAAGAGTGTGGTTGCCCACACTCTTCTCATTCTCCTGCGGTGGCATTGGAGGCAGCCGTGAGTGTGGGCAGCCGCGTTGCCTGGGGAGGTGAGGAGAGTGTGGGCAGGTGTGTTGGAGCAGGGAGACATGGACAGGCTGGGAAGACGGGGCGGCAGCTTGGGGCTTGGTGACAGTTGAGGTGAGGTGGAGGAGTCCACTCACCTGGTCCTCATGTGGAGGGTCTTCAACAATACATAGCCGGCATTCTTCCTCAGCAAGTTTCCTGCACTGCAGCATTCAAGAAAGACTGCCGTTTTCTGCCTCCTCCGGTCAGTTTGTCTGTGTGAGAGAGATTGACAGCCGGATAGGGAGAGAAAAGCTCCCACCTTCTTCTTCTTCTTCTTCTTCATTTCAAAAACTCGTTTGCCTGACCTTTGCAATCACTTGCTGTTTTCTGGTCGCCTGTAGCCTCTCTCTGTCGAGGCTGTACCATAAGTAGGGTAGATTCGTAATGTTGTTTGGCTGAGGGCTAACCGTGTGACCTGCCTGTACGGAAAATTCGTGAGGGACATATATGTAAATACGGGAAAATACAGGCCCGTACTAACTGAATTTCCTACAGCTAACCTAACTGCGAATAGCAGGCCCGGGATACCCCTAGGACAGACGGGCCCTAAGGGCCTATGATGATAGACGGTCCTATAGCCTATAGTCGGGTAAGGTAGAGGCCGAGAGGCCGAAGATGGTACGGTACCGGTCGGTCAGTCAGTCCGGTTGTTGCATACTTCGATGAGTATGGGAAGAACCAAAGATCAACCAATATAGGATGAGCATGTATGCAGCGGAAGTCTGATAAACGAACTGACTCACATAGACTGACTCACATAGCATCACTCCACACACATACAATCGTGAGATGGTGGGGTCTGAGCCATACAAAGAAGGTGCTCAGCCCCGTACACAACATACACAGATGAATGGGGGAGGAGAGACGAAGGAGGTGGGGCAGGTAGACAGCACTGAAAGTCACCGAGATAGAATCTGATAGGTCACCGATATGGTAGTCCAAAANAAAGTCACCGAGATAGAATCTGATAGGTCACCGATATGGTAGTCCAAAATGTCATCCAACAAGATCAAAATGTCGAGGACAATAGGTCACCAATGTCGGAGGTACAGAGTCCAAATGTAACCGGTGTCCGAACTGCGATGCAGCCGAGTATCAACCCCAACAATCTCCAAGTCTCCAATCAGGTAAGTACCACAGTCTCATATCACCGAAGTCCAACTCTGATCTCTGTCCAACTAGTATAAGTATCCAATCTGAAGAAGAAGAAGAAGAAGAATAGGAAGAAGAAGAAGAAGAAGAAGAAGAAGAAGGGAGCCGAGGAGGAGAGGGAGAGAGAGGGGACTGGCGATGGGAGGGAGGAGAGAAACCTCCAACTCCCGGTACCTCAGGCGGCTATGGCCGCCGGTAACCCAGTCACCGCTGCTGCTGCTCCGCTCGCTGCTGCTGCGCTYGCTGTTGCTGCGCTAATCGCTGCGCTGCCTGCTCCTCGCTCCTGCGCTAAACATAGCGYTCCAACGGCACTCTGGTGCCGACCTTACCGCACCGTAGTATACCGGTGGGTCGATCCCTGAAGTGAGGCCGGGCCGGTTCTTTATACCGGTGGGCAGAGGCCGGCCTCACTGCTGCGAAGCCTGGCTGTGCCCTGAACCGTCCAGATGGACGGTTCAGCCCCAACCGGCAGGCGGCAGCCTCAAGAGCGCCGCCAGGCCCAAACGGTAATGTCGTTTGGGCCTGCCCGTCGGGTCTGGTCCAAGGTGAGGCCTTTATGGCCTGTAGAATCCCAAGGTCGGGCCTTTAGGCCCTGATGTGTCCCTCTAGCCCTAAGTCGGGTCCGGTAGGACCCGTGTGGCGTCGAAGATGTAACACACTCCCCCTCTTAAAAGACCGAGCTACCTGCGAGGGCGAAGTTGTCTGTCCGATACCGGGGTGGGTCGGGCGGGACGAGCTGCGTCCTTAGCAAGGCGTCGCTTCTCATAGTCGGCGAAGATAAGGGGTGCAGAAGTCTGCAAATCTCTACTGGAGATCCACCGAGTGTCRTCAGGCGCACATTGCTTGAATGCGACTTTGTACTGCCTTGGCTTGTTGCCATACTTGCGGTGCGTGATGAGTCGGTCAACTTCTTGATGTCCGTCCATAGAAGGCGGATCCTGTGACCGACGTCCAGGGAACTCGTCAGCTGAAGGTGGCGTGTAGATGGCCAGCTTCGATGCGTGGAAGACCCGATGCACTGTYAGGTGCGGTGGAATGTTGATCACGAAGGAAGGACCTACGGGGTCGTCTCCAACGACAGAAGTGACTTCCCATGGTCCGAACCATTTCGGAAGGAGTTTGCGCGAAACATCCTGGGAGGACCCAAACAAGGTCTCCCTCGCGGAAAGGACATGGAAGTCGTCGTCGGTTAGCTTGCTGCTGCATGCGGATTTGACCCTTTTGCATATTTGCGCGGGCTTTGATCAGCAAGTCCCGATACTTCCGGACGGAAGCGGGAGAGCAAGGGACGTCTATGTCGGCAGCTTGTGGCAAAAGGAGATCAGTGAAGATCCGTGCTTTCTCTCCACCATGATGTAGCTCGAATGGTGTGACGCAGATCGCCGGGTGCACCGAAGTGTTGTAGGCGAACTCAATGTCGGGAATCCGGTCAACCCAATCTTTCTGGTCGGGACGGATGAGCGTACGCAACATCATCTGAGCGGTCTGGTGCGCTCGCTCCATCTGACCATCCGTCTGCGGGTGCCGAGCCGAGCTCGGTTTCATTGTCGTACCGGACTCAGCCATGAGGGAAGTCCAGAAGGCTGATATGAAACGAGTATCTCGGTCGCTCACTATGTCTTCCGGAACACTTTGGTTGGTAATCCAACCGGTGTGCAAGAGTCGTGCGAGCTCAGGCGCTGCAGCATGATACTTGCAAGGAAGGAAGCGAGCATACTTGCTCAAACGGTCAACGACCGTGAGAATACCGTCATGGCCGTGGCGATCGCGGGGAAACGGGCCTRTCACGTCCATAGCAATGGAGAGGCGTGGTGCCCGAAGGATCGGCAACGGTTTCAGTTCGCCGAAGGGGACTCGAGATCGACCCTTGTTACGGTGGCAAACTGCACATGACTCAATGTACCTTGTGACGTCGTGAAGGAGGTCGGGCCAGTGAAAACGTTGGCGGAGGCGTGCTAGTGTGCGGTTCACGCCAAGGTGTGCCGAAAGTCGTGCGTCGTGGAATTCGCCGAGAAGACGAGTCCGTAAGATGCAATCTTGGGGCACAACTAACAAGTCCTTTCCTCTCGTGTGAAGGAGAAGGAACCCGTCGGAAATCCGATAATGGCTAGCCGGCGGGTGATCCGATGAAAGCTCTRCGTAAAGCGTAGAGTAAGTCGGATCGGACTTGTAGCCTTTGACGAAATGCTGCTGCAGATCGTCATCGAGGTCGAATGCCGTGGTCACAATGACACAAAAGTCGGGCCGTCGTGAGAGGGCGTCCGCAACTCGATTGGCGGGACCGGGAATGTGACACGGGTCAAATCGAACTGGTCGATGTAATACATCCATCGACCAATCGTGCTAGTGACCGTGTCCTGTGTTTTATAAAAGGTCAACGGATTGTTGTCCGTATTCCATTTGAACCGCCGACGRCCGAGAAGAAAGTGGCRCCACCGTTTGAGAACGGTGACGARCGCAAGTAGCTCTTTCTTCCTAGCGTCGTCGAGAGTGTTGACGAGAGGCACCTTTTGGGAGAAATACTCAACCGGATGCCAACCGTCCTCGTGACACTGTTCCAACACCGCACCAATACCGTATCCTGAAGCGTCCGTAGTCACTTGGGTGGGTAGGGTGGGGTCGTATATACGGAGGGCAGGTGCGGCTTGCATCGCTGCCTTCAACGTACTCAACGCGCCACGGGCTGCGTCGTCGAACTCAAAGGGCTGGTCCGTCTGACGAGGGGAGAGCATGCAAGAATACAAGGCCCATCTCCTCGACGTCATTCCGACCAATGGCGTCGCGAATCCACGCAACGGAAACCACGTGACAAGCAATCGAAGTGTGAGGGGTCGCGACCGTACATGGGACTAACACTCCGTTCCGATCACGGGTGTGAACGGTTCGGTCATGGAAGTTCACCGGATGATCGGCGCTACGCGATGTCAAAAGACACCGGCTCGCACGCAAGTGGCGCAAAGTAGACCGGAACGCCGTCAACGCATCGGTCAATTGACTTTTGCGTGCGGCCGTCCGCGAGTGTAACTTGCGTAGGTTGCGTCTTTCTTCGAACGCACGGGCCAAGACCTGCGCGGGCCATAAAGGCTTGACTCATGAAGTTGCGAGACGCTCCGCAATCAATCAAGGCACTACAGGTTGCCTTTCCGATTTGAATGCGGATATAGAGCAAAGGTGCGTCGGTTTCGGCATACCTTTGGGTGGCGTGCTTGCGGTCGATCTTCGCAAGATAGGAGCGGAGATCGGCAACCGCTACCCCGTCGTCCGTCAACGGAGCTGGTACTGTAGTGTGCAAGTAGGAGCGTAGATTTGCCATCAAGGCATTCCAATGCGGCCTTGGCAATGTTCCGGTTGAGGGTAGAGGTATCCAAGCGAAATCCTCTCTCGTGAGCGGGTCAAGCTCCTCAAGTCTTGACCACGCCATCGAGTCCTCGAAAATCAGTGGCGAACTGACCGGGTCACTTGCCGACGGTGTACAGGCTGCGCATACGCAATCTACATGCACGTGGCTAGGCTGGTCTAATGGTGGTACCAGCTGGGCGGCATAATCCTCGTACGTAGTACGAGAATCAGCGACTAACGCATGCTCCTCGGGAGTGACATCGATTGCTAGCAAGGCAACCGGGTCCGGCGGAGTGAGGAGAGACGTCGCCCCTCTCCTTGCGTAACTCAGTTTCCCGAGTTTGCTGGACGGGGTACGCAAGCCTTGCCCTTTTCGGGGCATTGTGCGGTCACATGAGTGACTCCATTGCACCAAAGACAGTATCCGTACTTCTGACGTAGGTCATAGACCTCCTTGGTGATCTTATATGTCGTCCATGGCTGCCCAGCTCCCGTCGCTGCCGTCTCTTGTGTCGCCTTGTTCTTACGAACTCTCTTGGGACGCTTCGGCGGGAGCACTGCGACAATTCCTCCATCACCCAAGGATGCTGCTGCAGCGTGGTGGTCGTCGGTTTCCTCGAAAATTACGGCATTGTTATGTGCCAGACGTTGATAGGCCTGCTTAGCCACATAATGCTGCTGGGATTGTCTCTCGTTAGCGGCCTTGTCGTCCGTTTGGATGACCAAGTTCGCTCGATCCAGAATGGCCTGGAATGTGGTATAGTCGTACTC